AAGTCCTTGCCTTGCATGCGCCAGGATCCCATATGGGTGCTGGTTCTAATCCCGGCTGCTCCACTTCCCATCAGGCTCCCTGCTTGTGGCCTGGGAAAGCAGTTGAGGACAGCCCAAAGCCTTGGGTTCCTGCACCCATGTGTGAGACCCAGAAGAAGCTTTAGGCTTCCTGCTTTGTATAAGTGCTGCCGAAGCGAGCACAAGGCTCCTAGCTTTGGATTGGCTCAGCTTCAGCCACTGTGGGCACTTGGATAGTGAAGCAGCAGATGGAATATCTCTTCCTGTGCTCTTCTATCTGTAAGTCTGATTTTCCAAAAAAATAAATAAATAAATAAAAATCTTAAAAGATTTCTTAATGAAACAAAAACCATGTATTCTTATTTGGGAACAGAACCATTAATCTTTATTTTTATTGTAGTTTAAAATATATGAAGACAGTGCAAGAAGGGAGGGGGCTGGAGTTGTGGCATAGTGGGTGAAGCTATGAGCAATAGTACCAACATTCCAAATGGATGCTGGTTAGAGGCCTAGCTGCTCCATATTTATTTGTATAGAAACCTTTTTAAAAAGACGTATTTATTTTTTATTTTTATCACAAAGTCAGATATACAAAGAGGAGAAGAGACAAAGAGGTAGATCGTCATTTCAATGGTTCACTACCCAAGTGATCATTACGGCTGGTGCTGTGCTGATCTGAAGCCAGGAGCCAGAAGCTCTTCCAGGTCTCCCAAGTGAGTGCAGGGTCCCAAGGCTTTGGGCCTTCTTCGACTGCTTTCCCAGGCCACAAGCAGGGAGCTGGATGGGAAATGGAGCTGCTGGGATTAGAACCGGCGCCCTTATGGGATCCCGGCACATTCAAGGTGAGGACTCTAGCTACTAGTCCACCACTCTGGGCCCAGAAGCTTTTTATAAAAATTTATTTACTTGAAAGGGAGATTTACATAGAGAAGGGGAGAAAGAGGGAGATTTCCATCCACTGATTCACTCACTAAATGGCTATAGTGGCTGGAACTGAGCCAATCCAAAGCCAGGAGTACTGCCAAGCAAGTTCTGGGGTGGAATTCAGTGATTTCCTCTCTCCTTGCTTAAATAGTTGCATATTTTTCCCCAACACATTTCCTTTAAGATGCTATTTCTTATACCAGTTTTTATATTAAGATATTCTTACCAAAAAATTCATCTTGTGCTAGTTTAATTATAGTGCCAGTGGATCTGTGCCAGTACTTGAAACATTGTAGGCATTTTCTGACACAAAGAAATGAACACAATTGGATATTTGGGTAACATTATTCCCATTTTACAGATAAGTGAATTAGAGAAACCTCTCTTGGTTATCAAAGTAATTGGAATGAGACACAGATCTAGAATTAAGAGGCCTGGTTCTTTAGATGCCCACATCCCAGTCACAGCTTTGTTTCCAATTCCAGATTCTTGCTAACGTGCAACCTAGCAGCTGGTATGGCTCAAACGGCTCAGTCTCAGACACCCATGACAAGAAAGGGATTGAGTACCTGGCTTCTGGCTTCAGTTTGACCTAGCCCCAGCTATTGCAGGCATTTGTGGAGTGAATTGGTTGTTGTGAGTTCTCCTTCTTTCTTTTTGTTTATTGCAAAGTCAGATACATATAGACAGGAGGAGAGACAGAAATATCTTCTGTCTAATGATTCACTCCCCAAGTAACCACAACGGCCAGAGCTGTGCTGATCCGAAGCCAGGAGCCTGGAGCCTCTTCCAGGTCTCCCATGCAGGTGCAGGAACCCAAGGCTTTGGGCCGTCATTGACTGCTTTTCCAGACCACAAGCAGAGCTGGAAGGGAAGTGGAGCAGCCGGGATTAGAACGTGCACCCACATGGGATCCCAGCGCATTCAAGGAGAGGACTTTAGCCACTAGGTGCTAGGCTAGAGTTCTCGCTATTTCTTAAAAAAATTTTTTTTAAATAATTTAAAAGTATCTTTATCAGGTAAGCCAAAGGCTACGTTATAAGAACAGCTTAATCCTTAAATCTCAGGGGATTTAGCAAAGGAAAGCGTTATTTCTCATTCATAAAGATTCTGGAACTGTTGGACAACTGTTCAAGGTAGCTGCACTCAGTTTATTTTTATTTATTGATTTCTTTTCTCAGCCAAGACGAAGCCAGGAGCCCAGAACTCCAACCAGATCTTTCATGTGGGTATCAGGGTGCTGGATTGGATGCAAAGCAGCTGGAACTTGACCTTGGTATGCTGGTCAGTAAGGGATGCCAGTGTCACAGCAAGGGCTTAACCCAATGTGTCAATTTTTACTGCGGCTGTTCTTCAGGAATGCTGAGCTGTTGTTCCTAGTGGAGACGCAGGGTCAGGTTTCTGGCAACTCTTGATCACATTCTTCCCAACTGATCAAGACATAAGCTTGACTTTTTGTGTTTTATTGAAGGACACCTTATTTAACACGTTGTTTCATTAACCTTGACTCCTGGCCAACAGCACCGTAACTCATGCCTTCATGAAGCTGATATAACAAAGATCGCACATTATTGCCTTTTTGCACTGAAGAACACCACACAATGCATCCACATTGAGCCAAGGGACCATTTTTTTTTTAACTTTTTCCATTTTTTAATTATATTTTTGACAATCTTTACATAGTTAATTAGGGTAAAAAGGCTCAAGGGCTATAGGAAAGAAGGTAAGACTATTATTTCCACATTGTTTTCTTCATGTATCTGAGGTAAAGGGGATTTTAAGGGAGAAGCCTAACCCAATTTCCCACCCACCCCAGGACCCTGATGTGGGGCATGCTCTGAGGTTCTTGCTCAAGTGGTTTTGATGGTTCATCAATTACGGATTGCTGCCAGTCTCGCACTCCAAGCACAATGAAGTCATTGAAGAATCCACTGATTGACATAGTCCATCTTAGAGTCTCCGTTTGCCCTGTTTTTCACTGCCAACATATGGCTGAGGTGGTTGATTGACATGTTCTGTCCTCTGCCTTTTCATGGTTAGGGTTCCGAGTCCGGCAGTTCGATTGGGCAGATCCCCAAAGAAACTTCATCTCAGGTGTTCCCAGAGCAGATTCTTGAATGTACTAGCAAGTACAGGGCCTGGCACAGTCCATCGCCCCAATTAGCTGGTGGTTGCAATTGTTGGGTCAGTTCTGTTTCCAGCGCTGTCTTCCACTGGAACCAATGGGTGCTGCAGTCCAGCCTGGTTCTGCCCAGCATATAAAACCTCACATAAAACCAGTGGGAGCTGCAGCCTAGTTGGAGCGACCCGCAATAACCCCCACCAGGCCCACCCCCTACCCTGGTTTGCCAGTATGTGCAGCAGACTAGTCCAGTCTGTCCCACATCCCCTTTGGCTCTCATATGTGTCAATGGGTATTAAAGCTTAGTTCCATCTAACCAGCTTCACTATCCAGCCCATACAGTTGTTGTTGGGTGCCTTTCTGTCTAGCCATCCCAGCCCCTGTCCTGGTTTCCATGCCCTCTAGTGAGAGTGATAACCCAAGAGGGAAGAGCCCACTATCTCCCTTCTAGGCCACCCCCACTCCAGGATTGTGCACTCTCTAGGTGGTTCTGTGGCTTAACTTGACAGAATTAGCCCCCAGTGCCAGCTGCTGCCAGCTGATGCTGCGACTAAATCCAACCAACCCTCACTCACTCTACTTTTGATTTGCACCAGTAGGAACAATCAGCCCAGCCTGGCTTTTCCCTGATCTAGTCCAGGGGCCATCTTAAATGGTGAAATCACCAACAGAAAAGACAAATGTGGTGCTCAATAAAAATGTGGTGTTCAAAAAAGAAAAATGTGGTGCTCAATAGGCTGAAAAAAAAAAAAGCCAATTTCACAGCAGAATAACACAAGAACTGAAGCAAGAAGGCAACTATAGCCTTGTTTGGCCTCAGCTGGAAATCCATGGATGAGGTGAAATCAAGCTGTTTGCTGTACTGCCCATGTGTGAATGACCTCAAAAGTGTTGCAAGCACTGACTTTGGGGTTACAGCTAAATTTAGTGACTAGGTGAACTCACCAATACAGAAGTTACAAATATTGAGGGCAATATACATGCTTTCTAATAATTTGCAGTTTCAGGGGTTAGCACTGTGGTGTTGTGTATTAAGCTGCCACCTGCAGTGCTAGCATGTTTTATGTATACTGGTTTGAGTCTCAGCTGCTCCACTTCTGAGCCAGCTCCCTGCTCATGTGCCTGGGAAGTCACTGGAGGATGGCTTAAGTTCTTGGGTCTCTGTATCCATGTGGGAGACTCAGAAGGAACTCCTAGCTCCTGGCTTCTGTCTGGTTCAGCTGTAATATTTTCAGCCATTTGGGGAATGGACCAATGGCTGAAAGATCTCTCTCTTTCTGTGTGTGTGTGTGTGTAACTCTGCTTTTCAAATAAATAAATAAATATGAGAAAAGGAGCAATTTGAGCAAATCTGAGGCTGGTTAAGTCATTAGCTAACAATTCATATGGGCACTGGTTCATGTCCCCACTCTTCTACTTCTGATCCAGCTCATTTCTGTTGCCGTTGGGAAAAAGTGGTAGAAGATGGCCCAAGTGCTTGGACCCTGCACATAAATGCTAGATTCAGATGAAGCACCTGTTTTCTGACTGGCCCAGTCCTGGCTGTTACAGACATATGTTTAGAAGATGTCTCTCCTTCTCTGTATAACTCTGTCTTCCAAATAAATGAATATATCTTAAGAAAAAAATAGAAGAAGAAAAATATTCCCCTTAGCTCTTAGCTCCTTGGCACTGTTTTCCAATACTTTTATACAACTTCTCAGTTTCCATCCCTGGCTCCCAGGTCTCTGTCTCCATGTCTACTCACTCCTCTTTGCACTTGTGACTCCTAGCTCGAGCCATCTCCATGGGTGCCTCCAAGGGCCCCATGGGACCCCCTATCATTGTCCTTCTCATAGTAGCACACCCTTCTGCAGAGCCCGAAGGATCAGGTATGCAGTGGCTCAGGTGACAAACCTGCTGTCAGGTTACAGATAGCGTTTCCTGAAAGACCAGCCCGTGGTGTTCAGCACAGCCTCTGCTGCCCCACAGCAGTAGCACACCACTGTCACCTGGCCTTACCACACCAGGTGGGAACCACCAGCACTCACCCCTGAAACATGGCTTGGAGCCTCTGTTCCCTGTTGCTTCTGCTGCCCTGTGCAGGTGAGAGGAAGGACGAGCAGGGCTGGGAGGGCAGGGCAACTGGGAGTAGGCTTAAGAACATGGGGGTTAATCAGTTAGGTCAAAGAGAGGGACCTGGGAAGAGGGGTAGGAGCCCTGCACAGGGAGAAAATGAGGCTCAGCAAGCAGACCTGGGCCCACTGCACGCTCATGAGAGCAGCTCAACTCCCAGGGAGGGAACTGTGCCCAGAGGCAGGTCTCCACTGAGCTCCGGGTTCTTCCCCTGAAAAACCTCTGGTTTTTCTCCTCACAGCGACTCTGCCGCCCAACGGGCCTCAGTCTCTGGACCGTGATCTCTCCTTCCTGAAGTCGTTGCTCTCCACTCTGGACCAGGCTCCCCAGAGCTCCCTCAGCCACTCCCGGTTTTCCGCGTTCTTGGCCAACATCTCTTCTTCCTTTGAGCTTGGGAGATCCGGGGAGGCGCCAGTGGGGGCGCCCCCGCCCCTGCAGCCCCCTGCCCTTCGGCTCCACGACTTCCTAGTGACGCTGAGGGGCAGTCCGGACTGGGAGCCAATGCTCGGGCTGCTGGCGGATGTTCTGGCTCTGCTGGGACAGGAGCAGACTCCCCGGGACTTCCTGGTACACCAGGCTGGTGTGCTGGGTGGACTGGTAGAGGTGCTGCTGGGAACCTTAGTTCCAGGGGGACCCACCGCCCCCACGCGGCCCCCGTGCACCCGTGACGGGCCCCCAGACTGTGTCCTGGCTGCTGACTGGCTGCCTTCTCTGTTGCTGTTGCTGGAGGGCACACGCTGGCAGGCCCTGGTGCAGGTGCAGCCAAGCGCAGAGCCCATCAATGCCACAGACCTGGAAGGGAGGGAGCCAGCCCCCCACCTTTTGCAGGGTCTGTTGAGTTTGCTCACCCCAGCAGGGGAGCTGGGCTCTGAAGAGGCTCTTTGGGGCGGTCTGCTACGCACAGTGGGGGCGCCCCTCTATGCTGCCTTCCAGGAAGGGCTGCTCCGTGTCACCCACTCCCTGCAGGATGAGGTCTTTGCCATTCTTGGACAGCCAGAGCCGGATGCCAATGGGCAGTGCCAGGGAGGTGAGTGCTGCTAGGGCTGGGGCTGGGAGTGAGAAAGGGCCAGGAGGGTGAGCCTGGGGTAGTCCTTTTCTTTCCTCTTTCCCTTCTAGGCAACCTCCAACAGCTGCTCTTATGGTAAGTGGCAGGGAACCACTTCTGAGGGATTGGGCTTGGGAAATCCAGAGGAGTCGCACCCAAGGCCTCAGGCTCCTGAGCTGAAGGGAAAACTAAAGAGGGGGATGGGGGAAGTGTGGAGTTCATTGGCCTTGGAAGGTGGCTGTACTGGCTCCACCTGTTCCTTGGGCAGCTTTTCAGATGACACATCCTGTGCCTCAGTTTCCCCATCTCTAAAATGAGGAGAATACTATTGGCTACCACAGAATTACTGGAAGGGAATCAGTGGGTTTATATTGTGAGCCCTCAGCACATGCAGCACCTGGTCAGTGGTGCTTCAGAAATGTTAACTAATAAAGGTGAGGTGTGGGGAGAAAAGACTGAGTCCTCCCACCGCCTTGCTTTTTTGGTCCAACAGGGCCAGCGCAAGGTTGGACATACCAGTTACTGGGCAGGTTTCCTCGTGGGAGGATTGTGTTTAAGCTATCTAAGAGCACAGGAAGAATTGAGAAGGAAGGGGGTCAAGTGGACAGATGAAGCTCCAGATGGGCTTCTCTTCCGTGCCTCAGTGGCACAAATCTCACTCCCTCCCCCTACTCCCCACACCCACTATCCCAGCATTGAAGCCAGTGACACCTTTACTCTGGGACATGTCACATGTGGAGAAGCCCATGCAGGGCTCTGGGCCAGGATCAAAATCTCCAGCTGGAGCAAACACGAACTGACCAGATCCCATCTGCCCCTCCCTCTGCACCCAGGGGCGTCAGGCACAACCTTTCCTGGGACATCCAGGCGCTGGGCTTTCTCTCTGGATCGCCACCCCCACCCCCTGCCCTGCTGCACTGCCTGAGCACAGGTGTGCCCCTGCCTAGGGCGTACCAGACCTCAGCCCACATGAGACCCCGCCAGCGGAGAGCCATCACCCTGGAGGCCCTCTGTGAGAACCACTCAGGCCCATCCCCACCCTACAGCATTTCCAACTTCTCCATCTACCTGCTCTGCCAACATGCCAGGCCTGCCACCCCGCAGCCCCCTCCCAGCACTGCCGCCATCTGCCAGACGGCTGTGTGGTATGCTGTCTCGTGGGTCCCAGGTGCCCAAAGCTGGCTCCAGGCCTGCCATGACCAGTTTCCTGATCAGTTCCTAGATGTGATCTGTGACAGCCTCTCCTTCTCGGTGCTGTCTGGCCCCATCCGCCGCTTGGTGAAGCGGCTCTGTGCTGGCCTGCTCCCACCCCCCACCAGCTGCCCCGAAGGCCTACCCCCTGTCCCCCTCACCCCAGAGATCTTCTGGGGCTGCTTCTTAGAGAATGAGACACTGTGGGCTGAGCGACTGTGTGGGGAGGCCAGTCTGCAGGCAGTGCCTCCCAGCAACCAGGCTTGGGTGCAGCACGTGTGCCAGGGCCCTACTACAGATGCCACTGCCTCCCCACCCTGTCATGTGGGACCCTGTGGGGAGCGCTGTCCGGATGGGGGTGGCTTCCTTGTGATGGTCTGTGCTAATGACACCATGTACGAGGCCCTGGTGCCCTTCTGGCCATGGCTGGCAGGCCAGTGCCGGATAAGTCGCGGCGGCAATGATACTTGCTTCCTGGAAGGACTGCTGGGCCCACTTCTACCCTCCCTGCCCCCACTGGGACCGTCTCCACTCTGCCTGGCCCCCGGCCCCTTCCTGCTCGGCATGCTATCCCAGTTGCCACGTTGTCAGTCCTCCGTGCCGACCCTTGCCCACCCTACACGCCTGCACTATCTCTTGCGCCTGCTGACCTTCCTCCTGGGGCCGGGGGCCGGAGGTGCTGAGGCCCAGGGGATGCTGGGTCGGGCCCTGCTTCTCTCCAGTCTCCCAGACAACTGCTCCTTCTGGGACGCCTTCCGCCCTGAGGGCCGACGCAGCGTGCTGAGGACAGTTGGGGAGTACCTGGAACAGGAGGAACAGTCCACCTTACCAGACTTTGAACCTGCCAATGGCCACAGCTCTGAATTAGGCAAGACGGAACTGTTGTCCTGCTTCAGCGTGAGTCATCTCCTAGGGACCAAGTTCCTGGGGGTTAGGGGGTTAAGGGGTGTCCCTCTAATCCTGAGATGCAGTAGTAAGAGTCTAGCAGTTTAAGCACACTGCCCTAGGTTCAAAGATGCTTTCATTCATACTTTAAAAAAAAATGATTTTGTTTACCTGAAAGGCAGAGTTACAAAGAGAGGGACAGAAAGAGAGAGAGCAATCATCCATCCATTGGTTCACCCTCTGAATGGCTGCAAAGATTGCTTTGGGTGGATCTAAAGCTGGGAACCAGGAGCTCCTTCCAGGTCTCCTACACAGATTGCAGGATCCCAAGAGTCTTGGGCCATCCTCCACTGCTTTCCCCGGCCAATAGCAGGAAGCTGGATCAGAAGTGGAGCGAGACTCAAACTGGCACCCATATGGGATGCTGGTGCCATAGGTGGAGGCTTAGCTTTCTATGTCATGGAGCTGGCTCCTGGATTCACATCTTAATTCTATAGTCAAATTTGGGAAAGTGATCCAGCCTTTCTGGGCAGTGGCTCACTTCCTATCTCTAGACTGGGAGTAATATTGTAACCTATGTTTTAGGACAATTGTAAAAACCACATGAAACATATGCTGTGATTTAGCACAGAATATCATCTACAAATGTGCAGTAAACGTTATCTCAGAATTCTTCCTGACTTCGACTCTTCCCCTTTTGGCTCCAGAAAGAAATGAGCTCATGTTAGAGGGCGCCGCTGAGTGAGGACTGGAGGCTGACAGAGTAGAAGGATCAGCCTTGAGAAAGATTTGGAGAGGATTATAAGTCAGGAGACTTTGATTCTAGGCTCAACTATGCCATAAATTAATGGCTCTTGGGCAAGTAATTTGATTTAGCTTTTCTAGACAGGTTTTACTCTTTTGTGTGGAGTAAAAGGTCTGTGACACTTTACGTGCTGTTATATGCAAGGGTGTGCAGAGACTCCTTGGGCCTGCTTTCCCCAGTCCTGGGCCCAGTGAAATGCAGCTGGGGATACATAGTGTCTTGGGTCAGATCTACAAGCATTTATTGAGCTAACTACATATGTCTCATGGCAGAAGGTACAGGGGAAGTGGGGAACAAGGTTCTGGACCTAAAGCAGCTTGCTGTCTGAAAGTCACTTGCAAGACAAGCTTCAGGCGAAGATGAGCATCCCAGACAATGGAATTTAGGGCCTGGGGAAGCTGCAGGAGGGACAGAGGCGACAGCTCCCTTGGCTTCTTGTCTTTCTTCCTACCAGCCTGTGCTGTGGGATCTGCTGCAGAGAGAGAAGAGTGTTTGGGCCCTGCAGATTCTAGTGCAGGTAACAAGTGACTGGGTGGGAAGGGGGATGGGCGCATAGAGGTGGGCACAAGTGACAGGTGTGGCCTGAGGTCCCTGCCCCGCAGGGCCATACCCACCATGGCCTCCAATCCCCAGGCATATCTGCACATGCCCCCGGAGAATCTCCAGCAGCTTGTGCTTTCTGCAGAGACGGAAGCTGCACAGGGCTTCCTGACGCTGATGCACCGCTCCTGGGCCCAGCTGCAGGTAGGCAGAGAGGGAGGGGCCAAGGTGGAGTTGGAATCTAGGGATCCAGGGCCTCAGCGTCAGGAGGGAGACTCGAGGGGGGCAACGCGAGGCCATTGAGGCCCTCCAGAGCCAACATGCATTCCTTGGCCCCACAGGTTCCACCATCCGAGGAGCAGGCCCTGGGTCGTTTGACGGCTCTGCTGCTCCAGCGGTACCCACGCCTTACCTCCCAGCTCTTCATTGACCTGTCACCACTCATCCCCTTTTTGGCTGTCTCCGACTTGATGCGCTTCCCACCATCGCTGCTGGCCAATGACAGTGTGTAAGGTTCCCTGCTCTTGGCAGGGTCAGGTCCTCCCCCACGTTCCAGAAGTAGACTTCACTACAGTCCTCTCCATGGAAACTAGGGACTAGGGAGAATCTCCATGAAAGCAGGGTTACAGGGGGAACAGAGGACAACAGTTTGGAACAAGGCATGCAGGGTTAAGACCCCTTACTCTCTGCAGCCTGGCTGCCATCCGGGATTACAGCCCAGAAATGAGGCCTGAGCAGAAGGAGGCTCTGGCAAAGAGACTGCTGGCTCCAGAGCTTTTTGGAGAAGTGCCCGCCTGGCCCCAGGAGCTGCTGTGGGCAGCGCTGCCCCTTCTCCCCCACCTTCCTCTGGAGAATTTTCTGCAGCTCAGCCCTCACCAGGTTTGCAAATAATCCCGTTTCTTTGAGTAACCCATCTTCTGCTAAGTGGGAATGGGAGTCAGTGACATGCCTCCCAGCACGCCCCTCTGTGCGAGTGTCTGGCAGTGAACTAACCTTCCCAACCTCAGATCCAGGCCCTAGAGGATAGCTGGCCAGCGGCAGGCCTTGGGCCGGGGCATGCTCGACATGTGCTGCGCAGCCTGGTGAACCAGAGTGTTGAGGATGGCGAGGAGCATGTTCGCAGGTGAGTGACGACAGCATCAGTGACCCCTGCTAGAGTGGATGAGGTAAAGACAAACTGCCATGATGGGTTGGCATCCTTGGAAGGAAGGAAGAGACAAGGGAGTAGGTGGTAGTGTCATGCAGTCTAAGGCTCCACAAGAGAGGTCTACGTAAGACCGCTTTGTCCTGGTACTAGCTTCAGGGACCACATGAAGGTTAACTTCCTGTCTTCCTCAGGCTTGGCTCCCTCGCTTGTTTCCTGAGCCCTGAGGAGTTGCAGAGCCTGGTGCCCTTGAATGATCCGATGGGGCCAGTAGAACGGGGGCTGCTGGAGTGTGCCGCCAATGGGACCCTCAGCCCAGAAGGACGGGTGAGCCCCCTGGGACATAGGCCTTCAAGACTTCTGGCTTCTTCTGGGTCTATGAATGGTTTGCACAATGTTATCAGACAGGCTTGAGTGCACTGAGGCCAGCTTCCTCACCACCACTATTGCTGCCTCAATGGCCATTCTTATCTGGTTTTCCCTCTTCCCGGCCCTACCCTATCTAGCCTTTGGGAGCTCAAACACACCCTTTGCCATCTTGAACCTAATCAACTTGGGTCTTATTCCAGGTTCCATTTCCGGGGAAATACAGACATAGAACTAGAGAAAAGTCCAAGGGTCACCTGTCTTTTCTCTCCAGGCTCAGACCTCTTTGGTTGCAGGTGGCATATGAACTTCTGGGGGTATTGCGCTCATCTGGAGGGGCAGTGTTAAGTCCCCCAGAGCTGCGGGTCTGGGCTCCTCTCTTCCCTCAGCTGGGCCTCCGCTTCCTGCAGGAGCTCTCAGAGCCCCAGCTTCGGGCCATGCTTCCTGCCCTGCAGAGAACCAGTGTCACACCTGCCCAGGTGGGCCTGTCTCACTCCCTCGGGTCTACTCTCCATCATCTAGCACCCCAGTCAAAAGGGAGCCCATCAAGTCCTCCTTTCCCTGGGGGCGGGGGGGGGTCACTAGCCTGTCTCTGCAGCTGCAGAAGGACCTGGAGGGTGGCGGGAAGGGGGCTGGGAGTTCAGGCAGGTAGGGGATCTGCTGCTGGGAGCTGAAAGTTGTGATTTCCTGTTTCACCCACACCCAGGCTGCCCTTCTGCTTAGCAGGCTCCTCCCTAGGCACGATGTGAGTAGCTGCAATTGCTCCTGCACCAGCCCCCTCCTTCCTTCCCTCTCCCCTCTCCTACCTGTGGCTCTCTCTGCCCCTCTGATGTTGCCTTCCCCATAGCTCTGTCCTTTGTCAGGCCTCTTGTCTTTTTTTTTTTTTTTTGCCTCTCAGCTGTCCCTGGAGGAGCTCTGTTCCTTACACTCTCTGCTGCCGGGCCTCAGTCCCCAGACACTCCAGGCTATTCCCAAGAGAGTTCTGACGGGAGCCTGTTCCTGCTTGGCCCCTGAACTGTCTCGTCTCTCAGCCTGCCAGACTGCAGCATTGCTTCAGACCTTCCGGGTATGAGAGGAGCTGGCAGGCGGGAGGGATGGGTGAGACCATCAGGCATGTGGTCTCTGCTTGGGATGAGGGCCATCCCCACTCCCTTACACACTTCCCCTATTTTTTGTTTTTGGTGCATGGAGGGGGAAAATTGGTTTATTTATTTGCAAGGGTTCAGAATGGGGCCAGGGGTGTGTCTTTCATCCACTGATGGACTCCCCAGATGGCTGCAACAGCCAGGGCTGATCTAGGCTGAAGCCAGGAGCCAGGAACTCCTTCTAGGTCTTCCACATGGGTGGCAGGAGCTCAAGTCCTTGGGCCACTTTCTGCTGCTGTCCCAGGTATATTAGCAGTGAGCTGGATTGGAAGTGGAGCAGCCAGGACTTAAATTGGGGATCACATGGGATGCTTGCAGCATGGTAGGCAGCAGCTGAGCTGCAACGCTCTCCATCTTCCACCTGCCCAATTCTCACACAGGTGAAAGATGGCATGAAAACCTCAGGTACAGCAGGTGCTGGTGCGGCCGTGTGTGTCCCTGGGCAGGTATGTGTGAGCCCAAGCTCCTCTTCATGTTCTGGGGCAGTTTCATGCTGCTGGTACTGCCTCACATACTCCCCCTCACTGAGCTCTGAAAGTCCAGATCAGTTCTGCGCCCATCTAGACAGTGGCACTCCTCCCCAGTTCCAGACACAGGATGACATCACCCACCCTATTCTAGAATGCCAAAGCCAGGAAAGCCTGAGAAATTCTTCCTTGTTCAGCTGTAAAGCCAAGCTTGGGGAAGCTAAGGGCGGTCGGTATCTCCTGGGTTGTGTGATCCGTAGCACAAACAGCCTTCCATGTGAGGCTCTGCTGTGTTCCTCCACACAGTGGCTGATGCCTTTTGGGCCCCATCCTAGCTTTGATCCCTTCTGCCCCTTTCTCGAAGGGCTGAATGCAGATCTTGTTTCCTATCACTTCTCCATACATCCATCACTGCCAGCAGCCCATCCCCACCACGTGGCCAGACTGCTTGCTTCCCCTGCTCCCATTAAAGCTGCTACAGCTGGACTCAGCTGCTCTTCTGGCAAACCGAAGACGCTACCGGGAGCTGCCCTGGTCTGAGCAGCAGGTGATTCTCCCCGCTTAAGTGCAGAACTTTCTCTGTCTCAATCTCTTTCACCTACATTGGGTCATCTGTCCCTAACCTCCCTGAGTGTCACTTGCTTTGCTCTTTCTTTCCTAAGAAGAGCAGGAGGCTGGTGGGACCCACCAAGAAAAATGGCAGGACTGAGTCCAAGGCATCTTGGGTCCTCAGGGGTCGGGGGGACTTTCTGTTGTGAAGTGGCTTCTCTTGCTTTCTTGGGCAGGCCCAGTTTCTCTGGAAGAAGATGCAGGTGCCTGCCAACCTGACTCTCAGGAATCTACAGTGAGTCACTTGTGTTGAGCCATGAGTTTAATTCAACTGACATTTTTCTGAATGCTTGCCATGTACCAGGTGCCATGGGCGGTATGAAGGCAAACATAGGGGATGAATGAGGTACTGTCCCAGCCTTGTGGGCAGGTTCCTGGTGGCTCCTCCCATTGCCCCCATGCCCTTCTATGGTGCCATGCTTATCATGACTACAGCCAAGAGACTGGGAACACCTGCGTTCACGCCCCAGCTCCTTCACCTACTTATGCCCTTGAGTGAAGTCAGGCAACCTCTGTAAATTTCAGTTGTTATTTCTGAAGAATAAGAAATAAGTTGGTACCTACCTCATCATGGTTACCCAGGTGGTGAAATAAGGCACATAAGCTATTTAACACAGTGTAAACTCCCAGTAGGCATTTGCTGTTATTAGTTTAATTCAAGGTGACTTCAGAGCCACTGACCAGGCAGGAATAAATAGGAACAAGAAGGTGTCACCTTACCTACACCCACAGTAAAAGCATCAGGCTTCAGAATCTGGTGTCAGTGTGCATTTACCACGCCAAGAGGAACGAGGTGGAACGAGGCTGGGCATGCCACTTGACCTGTGTAAATCTTTGTTTTCTTCTCTGACAAACAGTGACGATGTTATAGGGAGCCAGCAAGAATACCTATGTAAAAATAGTTCTCAGACCATAAACCGCTGTCACTGAGCATGTGCTTGTGTTAAGAACACTGATGTCATTGGGCACCCAGGTGTGGCAGGTGTTGAATGAGCACTTACCCTGCTCATGTGCCCACAGGGCTCTGGGAACCCTGGCAGGGGGAATGTCCTGTGAGTTTCTGCAGCAGATCAGCTCCATGGCAGATTTCCTGGAAGTGGTCCACATGCTCTACCAACTACCCACGGGGGTCCGAAAGAGCCTGGTGAGAATTGGGGTACTTGGTTATTAGCAGGAGTAAGGAGCCATGGCAGATGGGTGAAGAAGCCATCTGCCGTGGTCCCAACTCTGCTTCTCTACTCTATCCCACAGAGAGTGTGTATCTGGGCAGACATGCAGCGGAGAATGGCAATGCCAGAGCCAGAGTTGACAACGCTGGGGCCAGAACTGAGTGGACTGGACCCCAAGCTGCTCCTGGACTTACCGTAAGTGGTACAACTGGAGATCCTGGATCTTCCAAAAACCCAACTAGAAGTAAATCTCCTCTTAGGAAATGTCCTGGCAGAGATGGCTTTCTGATTTAGGGCTCCATGATGTCACTTGCAACCCAAAGCAGAGGGCTCTGCAAGGAGCTGCTCTGTGTATTGACTGGCTGCCAGCAGGAGATGATGAAGAGTGGCGACGCTGTGTTGTGGCCTGCTGGGTAATCTTAACATTTTTAGAACTCTGGCCATGTTAAAAGGAGTATCTGAAATGAGGGAGTTAATAGTCTGACGCTACTTCAAGGGGTTATATTCTATTTATAGTCCCTGCTTCCCAGTGTGTTCAGAAGAATACAGAGAAGATATATAAAACATTCACTAAATGTCTTCAAATACCTGCAGGGCTTCCAAGTGAAAAATAGCTGGTCAGTTTCTACTTGCCTGTCAACTCTAGGATTAATGAATTAAAGTCAGATTTCTGTACAATGTACAGAAAATTAAAGTAGTAAGTTCCTGGTCTTTGGAGCTATTTAAATTTAAATGGTCTCACGGCAGGATTTTTTTTCTTTTCAGATATTTTTGTTTATTTGAAAGGCAGAGTGATATACAGAGAGAAGGACACACGCAGATCACACACACACACAGAAACATCTTCCACTCTGGTTATTCCCCAAATGGCTGAAAGGGTCAGGGTTGGACCAGGCCAAAGCTGAGAGCCTAGAATTCCATCTGTATCTTGCATATGGGTGTCAGGACCCAAGCATTTGGGCCATCTTCTGCTTTTCCCAAGTGCATTAGCTGGATCTGAAGCCAAGCAGCAGGACTGGAACTGGTGCTTCCATGAGATGTTGTAGTAACAGGTAGTCCCACAACACTGGACCCCACTTACCTCCCCCATGACAGAAATCTGAGAAGGCCACAGATGAACTTGGGGGAAGGGAAGCTTAGGTGAGCTAAGGCTGCTTTCTCACCAGAGACCCCAGTTTATGACTTTCTGACTTATATGTGTCTTGTCTCCTCATGCCCATCTGTTGTCTGAACTGTAAATCAGAGGAGGAAGCAAGTGGCTTAGTCCTCCTGAGGGTGAACCAATGATAAAGGCAGCAACATCATCCTTGCATTTTTGTAGGTTTTTATATAGATTTTTGGATTTTGTACAACTTGGTCTAGTTCCAGGATTGGAAACCCTATTAGAGACAGGATGTTACTTCTGATTTCTGGGGAAAAGTGGCTTTTTTTTTTTCACTCTCATTTTAAAGATGTGATTCAAATAGGTTTACATTTTTTTGTTTCTTAGAAAAAAATTAGAATCCCAGGACTTTGGGAAAGTGAAAGATCTTAGTCTATGAATCAAAAAACACAAATTCTCCACTTGTAGAAGAGGGTTAAAAAATTATCTATCCTGGGCCTGGCACGGTGGCCTAGGTGGCTAAAGTCTTTGCCTTGAACACTCCGGGATCCCATATGGACGCCGGTTCTAATCCTGAGAGCTCCACTTCCCATCCAGCTCCCTGCTTGTGGCCTGAGAAAGCAGTCGAGAACGACCCAAAGCCTTGGGACCCTGTACCCGTGTGTGAAACCCAGAGGAGCTCCTGGTTCCTGGCTTCGGATCAGCACAGTACCAGCTATTGCGGTCACTTGGGGAGTGAACAATCGGACGGAAGATCTTTCTCTCTGTCTCTTCTTCTCTCTGTATATCTGACTTTGTAATAAAAATAAAATAAATCTTAAAAAAATTATCTATCTTACTTATTAAGATCTTCTTATTAAGTGTCCAGTGAGATAACATCTGGAAGTACTTTGTGACCTACATTGTAATGTTCAAAGGAGAAGGGACTCCTCATGCACAGAGGAAGGATGATCTTGTGGAAAGAATGGAAACTGGGAATAAGACCCCACCCTTTAATCTCTATTAACCTTCGTTTTTAAATCTATAAAATAGGGTACTGCTGTTGTAGCACAGCATGCTAAGTTGTCACCTGTGGCATCAACATCTTATTTTTAAAGTGGTGGTTCATAAGTCCCAGCTGTACTCATTCCAATCCAGTTACCTGCTAATGCATCTGGAAAAGCAGCTGAAGATGGTCCAAACTACTCAGACCCGTGCCGTTGCCATGGGAGACTCAGCTGGAGTTCCTGGTTCCTACCTGGTTCTTTTATTTATTTATTTATTATTTTTTTATTTATTTTTTTTTATTGGAAACGCGGATATACAGAGAGGAGAGACAGAGAGGAAGATCTTCCGTCCAATGATTCACTCCCCAAGTGAGCGCAACGGGCCGATACTATGCCGATCCGAAGCCAGGAGCCTCTTCCGGGTCTCCCACGCGAGTGCAGGGTCCCAAAGCCTTGGGCCATCCTCGACTGCCTTCCCGGGCCACAGGCAGGGAGCTGGAAGGGAAGCGGGGCTGCCGGGATTAGAACCGGCGCCTATATGGGATCCCGGGGCGTGCAAGGCGAGGACTTAACCACTTGCGCCACTGCGCCGGGCCCCCTACCTGGTTCTTACTAGTTCTGACCTGGCCCAACCCTGGTCCTTGTAGCCCTTTGGAGAGTGAACCAGCAGATGAATTTCTGTTTCTGTCTCTCAAATAATTAAAAGAAACATTTTGTAAAGAGACATTTAAAAAAATTGTTTAAAAATTAAGAAAAAGTTTATTTTGAAAGGCAGCAACAGAAATAGATTGATCTTCCCGAATGATGGAAACAGGCAGAGCTGGTCCAGGCCAAAGTCAGGACCCCACAGATGAATCTTCGTCTTCCGTGGGCAGCAGGACCCGATGTGGGAATCATTTCCTGCTGCATGTCAAGGTACACATTAGCAGGAAGCTGGAATTAGCAGTGGAATCGGGACTCTAACACAGCACTCCAATATAGGATACCGACGTCTCAAGTGGCATCTTCTGTGCCATACATCTGCCCCCCAGAAGAGAACAGATTTGATGATACTTAGTACTGGGGGCACTTTGAGTCTATTTCATTATGTATAGCTTTTCTTTTACAGGAAGACTAAAATTATGTCACTCCCTTTGTTTTATCACTTCAAGCATATGGTGGTCATTGGCTCTGGGGCTGTTTCATACCAGCTAATACTAGGGTCACAGGGTTTGGTCTGGTTCTATGTCTCATCTGGGCAACTTCTTAGCTTGGCTCAGTTTTGATGGAGTGTCCCTATTGTCAAATTACTATCACAGGATCCAGCTGCTGGGTAGACTATCCAATGAATCCATTATGCTGATGGTAGAGCTGGTACAGGGAGCTCCAGACCAACTGCTGGCACTGACCCCACTCCAGCAGACAGCCCTGGCAGAGAGGGCACTGCAAAACCTGGTAAGAGTTCGCCCTACCAGACTCAGATCTATTGCTCCAGGCACTCTTGCCCCCCACACCATGCTGTTTTCTAAGTCCAACCCCCCTACTTCCTGTTTACAGATTCCTATCTATAAGGTTCTGGTCTCCTACATCTGCCCCTACTCGGTTCCTTTATAACTTGCTCCTTATTTCTTATCCATATTCCTGGGAATTGAGGAAATCTCTCAAACTCTGCCTCTTAGTCTTTCTGCCTATTCCCATGTGGGCTCATTCAATATTTAAGAAAGTGAATAGAGCACAGCAGGTCAAGCCACCACCTGTGTCACTGGTATCTCATATAGGCAACCTTTCTTGTTCCAGCTGCTCTACTTCCAGTCCAGCTCCCTGCTAATGGCCTGGGAGAAAAGCAGCAGAGAATTGCCCAAATGCTTGGGCTTAGCTCCTGGCTTCAGCCCAGCCCACCTGGCTATCATGGCCATTTTGGAAGTGAACAAGCAGATGAACTATTTCTCTTTCTCTCTCTCTCCTGCTCTTTCTGTAAATCTGACTTCCAAATAAATAGGTAAACCTTTAAAAAAAAAGTTGGGGGAGGAAGTGAACAAAGAAGTTAAAGGATGCTAAGTTGGGAGCGGAAAGTAGGAAAGGTACAAGGGCTTGGTCTCTTGATCAAAGAATCTGGTAATCTGCGACAGAGTTGCATTGTCCAAGGCTTGATACCTTCCTCCAGGCTCCAAAGGAGACCCCCATCACAGGGGAGGTGCTGGAGATTTTGGGGCCCTTGGTCGGATTCCTGGGGATAGAGAGCACACGACGGATCCCCCTACCGATCCTGCAGTCCCGGCTCAGTCAGCTGCAGGGCTTCTGCCTAGGAGAGACGTTTGCCACAGAGCTGGGTTGGCTGCTGTTGCAGGAGCCTGTTCTTGGGTATGGACCTTGGAGAACTTCCAATTCTCACTCACCCTACACCCAGCCCCTCAACAGCCATCATCACAGACAGCCCTTCCCCTATGAGCTCCATACGGTACCCCAAGTCCCCCAGTCCTAGCATGTACTATTTTCCCTATCTCCTCATATCTCCCTCAGCTCTCCAGCCCGTGATCTTCTTCCTTTCTCCCAGGAAACCAGAGCTGTGGAGCCAGGATGAAGTAGAGCAAGCTGGACGCCTCGTGTTCACTTTGTCTACTGAGGCTATTTCATTGATCCCCAGGGTGAGGTGAAGGAACAAGGAAGGGAGTGAACGCATAGAGGGGACTGGTGAGCTGGTTGTAGGTATCTAAGGCCCAGAAGGCTGAGGGCAAAGGGTGTACCAGATGGGTCCATGGAAGACTGCGCAACAGAGATAGAGCTCAGGAATTACAGCTGCAACAGTTGGCGCTGACCTTGTCCAAGTTGCCCCACCTTCCCTCTCCCTTCTCACACAGGAGGCATTGGGCCCAGAGACATTGGAGAGGCTTCTAGAAAAGCAGCAGAGCTGGGAGCAGAGCCGAATTGGACAGTTATGTGGGGGGCCACGTCTGGTTCCCAAGAAAGCAGCCCTGGTAGCTGGGCTTGTGCGACCAGCTGCAGAGGATCTCCCAGGTGAAACTATCTAACCATCCTCTTGGTAGTGTGTATAAGAAAGAGGAGCAAGCAATGCAGTCAGAAGTCAGGGCTCGAAGGGTGCCATGCTCTTGGAGCCGACTTGCAAGCCTTTTGTCCTCTGGACTTTGGTTCTTTTCATGTATAATGCAAAGGGATTAGAAGGATCATCTTCAAGGTCTCTTCTAATTTTGAGGCTTCTGTAACTCTGAGAGCTTAACATCCATGGGGCTTTCATCCTAGGACTTCCATTTTTTTCTTATTCCAGTGAACAGCTGACCCTGCTCTGACTTGGCTAAGGGTGGAGCTTTCTGTTGGGGAGGTCCCTAGGAGGGAGGAGGCACTGTGGGGATAGAGACTTAGGTGGGTTATGCTTAATTTCTGAGCAACCTTTGCAGTGTTCCATCTATAAAAGGGGAGGCTTATCTTCTCCAGGTACTTCTTATTCTACCCTTTGAGCCCTATAAATCTCACCATATAAATTATCTTGGCTCCTACTACCCACACTCACCCTTCCTCAAAAAGTTAGAAGGCTCATTCCATTTATAGATATCTCGTTTGGGTGTATTTTAACACCACACTGACCCTTTGGCTGTGCCTTCCACCTTTAGAACCGGTGCCAAACTGTGCAGATGTACGGGGGACCTTCCCAGCAGCCTGGTCTGCAACCCAGATTGAGGAGATGGAGCTCTCAGACTTTGAGGATTGCCTGGCTCTGTTTGCTGGAGACCCAGGACTTGGGCCTGAGGAACTACGGGCGGCCATGAGCAAGGCAAAGCAGGTTAGGGCTGGAGAGGCCAACTGAGGTTGGAGGTAGAAAGAAAGATGAGGAAATCAATTGGGTGGGATAAGGGACCCAAGGCAATGAAAAGATGGGAGGAGAGAAAATAGCTAGAAGGTTTGGATCACAGATAGGAGGTCAGAGAGTGGCAACTTTTGAAAAAGAGTTGCTAGTGCAAGGAATAGAGGGAACAGGGGTTATCCAATTTTAGCCAGTATCAAGTAACTTGCAGGAGGGGGCGGGTTTAAACTCCAGGCTCCCTTGCTGGACTGAGTAAGACTCTGGGAATGGAATCTAAGCAGCTGGATTTTAATAGGTACCTAGGGAAGTCTGGTGAACATGACAGTTTAGAACTCACGGGCTGAGACTCCAGGATCTTTCTATAATGCCTTCATTATTTTACAGTTGAGGAAAGTAAAGAAAAAGCAAATGATTTGTTTAGTTACACAGCTAAGATCAGAGCCAGACATCGCAGTATCCTGACTTGCAGTCCGGTGCCATTTCCACTCACATGGTTCCTTTCTTCCTCCTTAGTTGTGGGGTCCTCCCCGGGGACTCCGACCTGAGCAGATCCTGCAGTTGGGTAGGCTCTTAATAGGTCTAGGAGAGCGGGAACTGCAGGAGCTCAACCTGGTGGACTGGGGGGTGCTGAGCACCCTGGGTCAGACAGACGGCTGGAGCTCCATCCAGGTAACACCTTCCCACCTCTCTACCACTCCCCAAACACCCACCCCACAGGCCCAGGCCTCTGGTGCTTCCAAAACTCGTGGGATTTTTTTCCTGTGACGATACCTGGTCATTCTCTCATTTTCATTAATACTCCCTACTGATGACTGTAGGGGCTCTGATTGTTTGCTCTGATCCCCACTTGACACAAAAATGCTACCTGCTTCTTTTCCCTGAGGCTACTTTTTTTCCCTTACCCTTTTCTATTTTGGGGGTACTCAACCCTCCCACAGTTTCATTAGCTATTATTGAGATTGTCTCATGGCACAAGTTAATTCCCCACCCATTAATTCCCATGAGTTTTGTTCCTGTCCTGTGCCTCCCTCTCCTACCGCAGCTCCGGGTTGTCGTCTCCAGTTTCCTACGGCAGAGTGGTCGGCACGTGAGCCATCTGGACTTCATTCACCTGACAGCACTGGGTTATACACTCTGTGGACTTCGGCCAGAAGAGCTACAGCACATCAGCAGTTGGGAATTTAGGTTACCTTTGGGAAGGGGTTGTGGGTAGTGATGCTGAGATGAATGGTGGGTCCACTGGGGCAGGAAGGATCATGAAGGAGTGGTCCTGTGGAACAAGAGAACTAATTTACAGCCATCTATTCCCTGTCTCATGACCACAGACCCTGTCATTGGGACTGAATTCCTCCTTCTTTTCTTTTCACTCTTCCAGTCAAGCAGCTCTCTTCCTGGGCAACCTGCATCTCCAGTGCTCTGAGGAACAGCTGGAGGTTCTGGCCCACCTTCTTGTGCTGCCCGGTGGCTTTGGCCCTGTCAGTAACTGGGGGCCTGAGATCTTCACTGAAATTGGCACAATAGCAGGTGGGGAGCCTTGGTCTCTGCTAGTGCTCATGGTCAGAATTTGGTCTGTATGTTATGAATGCTCTGGGAGGAATGCCCTGGAATTGTTTGTAAATATTTTTTAATTTAAAAGGAAGAGTTAGAAAGAGAGAGAGAGAGAGAGGATTCTCATCAGCTGGTTCACTACCCAAATGGCTGCAATGGCTGAGGCTGAGCTAGGCAAAAGCCGGGAGCCAGGAGCTTCTTCTGGGTCTCCCATATGAGTGTAGGGACCCAAGGGCTTGAGCCATCTTCTGCTGCTTCCCAGGTACATTAGCTGGATCAGAAGTGGAACATCCAGGACTCAAACCAGCACCCATATCGGATGCTGACATTACAGGTGGCTTCTTAATCTGCTACCCCACAGTGCTGGCTCCTTCCCTAGAATTCCTAAGGTGGGAGATCTGAGAGGGTGTTGAGCTAAAGGGCTAGAGATAGGTTGAGGAAAGTCTAGGGGTGGGGAGTGATTTGAGTTTCTGGAAAAGAAGATGCACAGATTTGATGAGAAGGCTAGTCCAAGGCCATGTTTGGCTGCCTATTTCACTTCCTTCAACAGCTGGAATCCCAGACCTGGCTCTTTCAGCACTACTTCGAGGACAGATCCAGGGGCTTACTCCCCTTGCCATTTCTGTCATCCCTCCTCCTAAATTCGCAGTAAGTGTTGATGGACTGGGGTGTGGCGTGACCATAGAAAAGCCAGGGCCCAACAGGGGCCGCATGGGTGCCCTGACACAGGCTCACACCCCTAACCAGGTAGTGTTCAGCCCTGCTCAGCTGTCTAGTCTCACCAGTGTTCAGGCTACAGCAGTCACTCCAGAGCAAATGGCCTTTCTGAGTCCTGAGCAGCGACAAGCAGTTGTATGGGCCCAGTATGAGGGAAAAGAGATTCCCGAACAGCAGGGTGAGTTTCCAGTTGCACCGCCTGACCCTCCCTGTCCTGACCCAGAATCTGGCCTAACCCCTAACTTTGCACTGTCAAACCCCTAGGTGATCCCTTGGGTGAAGGGGTGTCTATAGACAGCTGGTTTGCAAGTGTCAGTGATTTTCCGCGAGGCAGCATTGTGATAGCTCTTCCATTTTTTTCTCATTGTAGGTCGAAGCACAGCCTGGGGCCTTCAGGATTGGTTACAAGCCTATTGGTCCCTGGCATTGATCATCAGCTTCCTTGGCCACCTGCTCTGAGCCTGCGTCTACTGTCTTGGGAGCTTGTTGAAAGTAGAACCTCACATCATAAGGAATAAAGTACAAATAGAAGTGCATTCTAATTATTCTCAGGAAGCCGATGAGGAATATGGGTAAAATGTTAATGCTTTCCGCCCACCTAAGATTCAGTGTTCCTGGCATGCCACAGTTGGAGTCTCCTTACATCACAAATAACCCCATGTGCCTCTTCATTTCTTAGAGGCTGCCCGCTCCTTTCCCTACCAGTAGAAACAACACAGACACCTGGAACGCAGCAAAGAGTCTTTACTGGGCTGGAGGCACGGGTTCAGGGTCAGGTCCAGGAAAAGTGGAATGGACCACCATAAACGGGCAGAAGTCTTGGGTTTTTTTTTACTCATCTGCTGGGGATGAGGAGTTAATGCTTGTTGTGGGCAAGAGGTGCAGGGATGCGGATATCCTGGCCTCTCTCCAGACGACGTTCACAGTCAATCAAATAGTTCACTCCATCGATCACCAGTTGTACCAGCTCCACCTGAAGGACACTCATCCTTAATCTCTGCTTCCCATGATCAGAATTTCTTCCTTTAGCACTGGCTGATTCCCTTGCTCTGGAAACTCATTTCCAATGGCCTCCCCCACTCAATTTGAATTTTATTTTAGATTCTGTCACATTCGTGAGGCCCACTCACTACCAGATCTCAACTCCCAATAATCTGTACCTCTCCTCACCCTAGTCCTTAAAGATCTCACCTCTGACTTGCCCAGTCGGTCCAAATTAGAGATGTCAAAGACACTGCCTGTGGCAGCAGTATCCACTCCTCCAGTACCACGCTTTTGGAGTCTTAGGTTCTCCAGAATCTTTGGGAAGCGGCTATCCTGGAGGAGAAATAGGAATTGGGAACAGAGTCAAGGGAAGCTAGCGTGTGGAGCCTTGGACCTGCTTAGAGCTCTGGGCCCTGACCTTTCCACCACAATGCCTGACTCCCTTCTAAATGACCTACTCCTTTCCAAGTCACATGTCTCCCCCTTTTCCTCACCCACATCCCTGTGTAACCCCATAAACATTACTTTGCTTAGCAGGGGCAGTTTGATGTGCACTCCTGCTCGGAGTCCAGTGCCCAGGTTAGATGGACAGGTTAGGATGTATCCTAGACGCTCATTCCACATGAATTCCCAGCCACGCTCCTGGATCAGCCGCTCCACCTGAGTCCACAAAGATTCTGTTAATGAAACGTCAGGGGTATGTGGGCCCCTTCTTTAGCTAGGCCAATAGCAACTGTAAAAATATGATTAGAATCAAGAATTTGAATGAATGGCATTGGTTTATTATAATGCATATAAGGTAATTTTAATGTTGCAGGATCATGATGCTCTTATGATATACAAAATGATGAGACTATGAGAAAATGTCTTGTGTGTGGAAGAAAACACACTTGAGGGAGTGATACAGTAAGGATGCTCCAGGCAAATGAACAGAGGTGGTAAAATGAACCAAGAAAAAGAATTGGTTACTCATTGAGTTCGTGCACTGATGATCTCTGCTTTGCTAGCAAGCTTAATGCTTGGAAGGGTCCTTTCAGACAGGAAATGAAGACATAGGCTTTTCAACAGGAAGAGGAAAGATGACTTTCTGTCAGCCAGGAAGGCACACATGTGAGAGAGCAGAAGGAAATGTGAAAACAGAGCAGAAAAACCAGATTCATAGGTTTGTGTATGTGTGTGTAATATGGGAAAGAAATGGAAAACTGCTTTTGTTTCACGTACCTATCCTAATCATGAAGATAACTATTAGTCTTGAAGACAGAGCAATGAACACTCAGACCACTACCGATAGTGAGTGAAGCAGACATTGTTTATACTTCAGGAACACCCAAGCTGTGGTGGGAGGATCCTACCAAATAATAATCCAGCTAACACTTGCTAAGCACTTGCTGAGGACCAAGCACTTTGCCTGTATTATTTCATTCATCCCCACACCTACCACATCTTATCTCAGTTTCATAGATGAGGAAACTGAGGCATACAATTTGAAAGAATATTTCCTAGCCACTCATAATCAGAATGTCATCTGTGACTTGCCAAAAATAATAGAATCTTCACAGTTCGAATCTAAAAGAGAAGTTTGGTCTCCGTGCAAGTCCAAAATAGAACTGTATATATGAGATCATGGAGTGGGAATTTGGTTTATGGGAATTTCTAATGCAGAACTAAATATGGAGACCAAATCCACATGGGAATGAGGATTCAGTTCAACTCCTCACACATATTCTAGAACTTGAGATGTTCCATCCCATCCCCCAGTCTCCCTCCTACTTCAGCTTAAAGCCCAGATGTAATAACACTGGCAAGAATGACAGAATCCAGGCAAGGCCTACCTTGGCTCAGCACTGGGTGGTTACTTGAGGATCATGAATGTGTCAGTTTCTTACCCCCTACATCAGTCTGTGCTCAAACACCATAGTACACTCCCCACCATGTCACACCACCCTCCACAGGCACTGTCCTGCAATCTCAGACATCCTTTGCCTTATCTAACAATTGCTTTATTTTCTTCTTTTGAGTTTCTGATATTCTTTCTCTTTCTATTCCTACAGCAACCATGCGTCCTGGTTTCCCCAGGACAGTATGGCTTATACTTGTTATCCTTTTGTTATCCTGGAGTGATTCATAGTGGATCTGTTTTACTGTCAGAAGTGTCCTGGATTGATTGATAAACCATGTGATTAATCTGCCCATGCTAGTCTTTGGTTTTCCTTTATTTCCTCCCATTTAGTTACCCCAACCACCCTCTGTCTAACCTCTTTGAGGCCTCGGCAGAATCTTTCAAACACTTTCTTCATGTTTCCACCTTTCTCCATGGAGATGACACGAGTATGATCTTCCTCATTCACCCAGATCAAAAAGCTCTTCTCATTGTTGTGCCTGAAGGCAGGGGAGTTGGAGGGAAAGGGATCAAGAGGCAAAGTAAGAGTTGAGGGGGATAACAGAAGCATTTATGGGCCGTGGAATCCAGAAAGGGAAGGGGCAGCATCATACCAGATTCCACGAGCATCTGGCCAGTCTCGAGCCATTCCTGCTGCGGTCAGCAATGGGGACACGGGCTTATCAAAGAGAAAGTGGTCCTGGCAAAAGCAGAGAGACCTGGATTCAGAATTCTCCCTGTAAGCCCTTGGGCCTCTCAGAGCCCATCTGTTTCATCTAGCCTAGCCTCCCCTCTGGGTCGGTCTTCTGTCTCCTCCCCATATCCAGATCCCTTGCAGGGCCCCTCACATCAATAAGTTGCTGCTGCTCAGCCTCTGTCATCTCACTGAGTCGATAGTAGCGTCCAGCCAGGTCACCCTTGAGGCCACTCAATGCATCTACCACGACACGTTCCACCTCTCGTCGCTCGGCCCGAGTGCAGGCCGGAGGTAGACTGAGTCCCCGGATACTTCGGCCAGTTCTGACTCTTGAGGACAGTACATACCTCTCATCAAAGTTGCCAGAACGGATCTGGAAGACAAGAAATAAACAAAAGTGACAAAGATACAGAGGGTGGGAACAAAGGGTCCTCCAAAGACTGCAGTCTTAAGAATTAGGTTTTTCATGCATCACACCTGCCTGCTTTAGAAGGAAGGGTTTGGTGGGCAAGCATGCAGGTTGAATGGGGGGCATTGTAGACACTTCCCCAAACTGTCCAGCTTGCAAGGTGGTCATGGGCATCTACCCTATCTCATATCTGCTATTCCTTAAGACACGATTCTTTTGCCACATCAAGTTTAAAAACTCAGCAGAATAATATGCCCATGAGTCAGGAAATCTTCAGAGTGAAGAAACTGGAGCTACAGAGTGTTGTTTACAAGTCATTGCATCTCAGAAGAAGTGGAATACGTAACTTACCTTACTAGCATCCAGGTCAGTGGTATGCTTCATTGTCCGGGGGTCATATCCATTGTGTCGTTCTTGGATCACAGGGTCAAACAGCTCAGCAAATACCTAAAGGGCAGTTAGGAGGGAAGGATGGTTAATTTGAGTATAGGTGGTTCAGAGTCTTTGGGGGGGTAGGGTGGCAAAGTAAGGTATGTTGAAGGGGAAAGGAGCCAGGATTATTTAGAAGATGAGTTGGGTTACCAGGAAGACCCTGGGAGGGGGGCTCCCTACCTCATAGGTCTCCTCATCTCCAGCCACCATGCCCACGGTCTTGATGAAGGGGTGGCCAGGGTTGTCCACGCCAGTCTGGATACACTGATCTAGTGTCCAACCAGTGGGTGTGGTCTTGTCGCAGAGTCGTGCATAGACTGCTGGGGTCAGGTGACTGGCCATGCAATTGTTGTGCTTTCGGAGGTCTGGGTACTCAGCACTGGGGAAGGGTGTATCCAGTAACCATGGAGGGAGGACACAGGGCCTAGAGCTAGTGCAGTCATCTGGGAGCTGTCCAGAAAACCACCTCTGGCTTTGCTCCATGGGAGGAGGGAGAATTTAAAGGAGGCTAAGCCTGGGTAATCTCTTTAGAGACTTCCAGAGTCTATTGTTTCCCAGCAGTTCTAGCTGTCTCGGCTGGCTAGTTCTGTTCCTCCAGACCTGCTGGGTTCATTCCTCCCATGAACAGAGCATTAAGGATGGGGGAGGGGAAAGACTAAGGAAGGACATGCAGGGAAATGGGGGAGAATAACGGGAAAGAGAGATATGGGAGAGTGAAAAGGATAGTTCCTGGTCTTCCCTTCCCCTTAGCGATTTGGGCAGTGGATGCAGTTAGAACTCTTAGGGACAGAGCTGCCTGAGTAGGGGCAGGGACTGTGGATTACAGATCCCCAGAAATGCTCTTGGCTTACTAGGCCCCCATTTAAGGGCTCGCAAGCTGTACAGCCCTCTCCCCAACTTCTCCCCTTAAGGCTCCAGGGCCTTGGCGATTACGTGATTACGGCCCTTCTGTGTGGCTCGGATCTGTCTCTACCCCTACCTTCGTGCTCCCGGTCCCCCATCTCCCTACCCGCGCCTCAATCACTGATACCTCGGGGGATACAGCCTCCGACGTTCGCTGGCTGCTCGAACAGGTTCCGGGCGGAGCAGAAACCCAGCAGCTAGAGACCCAGCTCCGGCCAAAGCCAGGAGCCTGAGCCCTGGGCCGGCGGACAGCAGACGGGAGAAG